AGAAGAAGAAAAAGAACTTTGTAATTCGGCATTTTTATTACATTATGATCAATACAAGGATAAAATTTTAGATGATGGTAGAATTGAAACTATTTTTGTAAACCATGTTGTGAATAATCTAGTTAAAGGATTAAGCGATGATTTAATGGTATTAAGAACGTATAAGTTGGAAGGTTCAGATTATGATAGTAATGTGAAAGTAATAGAAAATTCTGTGGTTGAGAAACCGGAACCTTTTGTGGTTTATGTGGTTAATGATGATAGTATTGTTAACGCTTTGTCATTTGGCGTGTCAAGAAAGATTCTTATCTTTACTGGTAAATTTAAATATATAGATTGTAAATTGTCTTTTTAAAATAGTTTTTTTTTTTTTTTTTTTTTTTTATCTGAAACATAAAATAATTCTTTTTAGGAATGCTAAAGGCAATTAATTATGATGAGGAATTTATTTCGGTAATTCTGTCTCATGAGATAGGACATGTTTTACAGAGACACTCAGGCGAAACACTTGGGTTTAATCAAATGATGTATATCTTATCAGGTAAAGGTTTACTTATTAATTATTGAATATTATAGCCTATGATGTTTTAACCTCTTAAATATATCTCGCCTTTGCTTTAATCAATTAAATTAAAAAAAAAATAGACACGCTTCGTACTTTATTATGGTTTCCATTTTTGGCAGCACTAGGTCCCTTTATTAATGAGTATATAAATGTTATGGCGCAAAACTTAATAACAGCATACGGAGCAACGAAATACAATCAAAAGGAAGAAAAAGAAGCAGATTTTGTAGGTTTACAATTAATGGCTTTATCGGGTTATCATCCCGGAAAAGCTGTAGAATTATGGTCTTACTTAGCAATTAATAAAGATCAAATGGCTCTAGAAGATTTACCAGAGATTTATTCTTCACACCCGAGTGAATATACTAGGGCACAATATCTATCTGAAGTGTTACCCGATGCCCACAAGATTTATGAGGAAGTAATTAAGAACAAAGGGAAAGCTATACCTTTTAATTTTAAAGAAATCATGGATAAACCTAATGAAACAGTTCAAAATAGGCCATGGTTTACAATTAAATTGTTTTAAGAATTGATGAATAGGAGTAAACTTATTAAATATATGCAGTCATTAGTACGTGTCATAAATCTGTGTTAATCTATATACTTAAAATTTCTGGATTATACATTGACCAGATTTTGACTTTACAAAATACAATGAATTGATATGCCAATAATACAAACCGCAGCTAAAAAAAAAAAAGACAACGAAATAGGCAATAGCTTCAATAACCAAAAATATTATATAGTAAGTGATATCAACAAAGCCGCTAGAAGCAACAGTAATAATAATTTTAGGGTGTGTATATACAATATTTACTATTTAAATACGTAGTTTATAAACATATATGGCAGCTGAAGCTGAAATAGGTTGATGCTAAAATCTTGACTATTCTGATTATGGAATTCTACAATTTTTTGGTCTTTTTTTTTAAAGGTGAGGTTAGGATTTAGGGTTAGTGTTAATAGGAGTAGTGGATACTATAGATTTAAATAAAAGCACCAAATGTTAGCACTAACCAATTATGGTCACGAATTAAAATTAGAATAAATAAAACTTGAGGTTTCTTTTTATCTTATAAATTCTACCTTTTAAAAAAAAATAATAATAATAAAATGCTAAAAAGACACCCTAAAGATTGTATTTTTTTTTTATAGATTATCTATTTTAGACTATGCAAAGTTTCATTTTAATCTGACACAATTATTACTTTAAGATCGTGTTTAAAATCTTAAGCGCAGTGATATATAAAAGTTGTTGGAGTTACATATCGTATAAACTCGGAATAACGTCAGGGCGTTATTTTGGATTTTGGCCAGAATTAAGCTTAATTTAGGCCAAAATTTGAAAATACACCCCTGAGCGTTATCCTGAGTTTATACGACGGTAAAATAATTGGTTTTTAATTCAGGAAATACGAGTTTATTATACATGTTATAAGTGGGAACGGAATTTAAGCGGATTTAATAAAATTATAAATTTATTTTATATAAACCTACATCCTAACTCTAAAATCTAAGAAATTCTACAATCCCTTAAATTTCATTTCTACTTACAACATATCAAGAGAATTTTATTATAATAGATCTAAATAAAAATACGTAGGATAAATGACAAAAAAAATCATACATGCAAATACAAAGATCTTGTACTATTAGACACTATTAGAAAGGATAGTAAAGCTTTTAAGAATTCTAATACTTGACAGTTTTGAAAAATTCGTCAAAATAAAAAATGAATTTTACCGCCTATGACGACGTGTCCAAGCGATCTAAGGAGTGTGAATCTTCCTCGGAATTGCCAACAAAATTGTTTCGAACATGTGGGTTCTACCCGCCCAGGGTCAAATCCTGTCGTCATCGAATTTTTTTTTAAACAACTTTTTCCTACAAAGAATTGAAGCTACTTTTGGTAAGGCCAAGATTTTTCAGTTTTTTATGTAGATTAATTTTTACACTTGCGCATTTATGAAGTTTTGTTTCTAAAAAAACCTAGCATGTACCTTATTTCAGGATTGTAGTTGTTGTAAGTGGGAAAGGAATTTAAGTGAATTTGGAATTTCTTTGGATTTTTAGGATTTGGGTGTAGGTTCATATAAAATAAATTCTATTCTAAAATTAAGAAATTCCAAATGCATTAAGTTCCGTTTCCACTTACAACGGTGTTAACGGTATCAGTAGTTATCCTAGTAATCATAAATGTAAAAATTTTATGCAGCATTTTCTACGTTTAATTAATTTGCAATGTGCCGCGTTATAATAAATCTTAAAGTAACTTAAATTTCAAAACAATATACTCGATAAAAATAATTTAATTTTATTTTTTAAATTTGAATCTAACAATTCAGTACAATTTAAAATTTTACCTATATTTATTCTGAGTGGATTCTAAATCCGTTCCGACG